TGCATAAACAGTCTCTGCTACCAAGAAGCCATGACACCATATAGACCAGTGCTTCCCAAACCTTTCCTCAGCATGACCCCATTTATGGCCCCATTTCCTCAGCATGGCCTTTCACTCCCAACCCATAGCTCTCACCCCTGTGCTCCCATCCGCTCATATTACAACCCATTGCAACCCACAGTTTGGGAACTTCTGATATAGACCCCTACATGAATTTCATCTCCAAAAAAAAAGAAAAGACCCACACAGCACAACAGTTCAATATTCAAAAGAGATAGATAGTATATGTCATACTACTGCTGACTGCAGCTGTACTATGACATAAAATGGATATTTTCTACAAAGAGCTTCAGACAAAAAATTAAAAAACTGGATGTGGCTTGGAAACTACTGTCTGAGAGTTACTGCAGTCTCTCAGTTCCTTGACTCTTCCCTATATTCAGCAGAAGAGACATGGAAAAAATGCACCTTGGGGAACCATCTCTCACCCCTTTCCTCCTCCTACCTTCTCATTCAGGAACAAAGTAGAGAGCCAGGATGTGTGTGTGTGTCATGGAGTGCAAGGATCTATTTTGTAGCTGTGTTGGTCTGAGAAAAAGAGAAACACAAAACTCTTGGTTCAGAGATTACCTTTTTTATTAGACCAACTAAAAAGTAGCAAAGAAAGTATTCCTTTGCAAGCATTCAGACACGTGCCATTCATCAGGCTGAGGAGAAATCAAAGATCGTAAAAGTCCTCTTAGGTAGAAAATTTTGCACAGGGGAAGTTGAGGCTGGAAGTGTATTCCCCTGAGGATCTGACAGTCCTTTTGTGCTCTGTCATGTGCAGATAAGGTTCTCTCCATCTCTGGAAGTATCCAATGTCAGAAGCAGGCAGGGAGCTGCAAAAATCTGTCTTTCTTGTTTAGCAATGAAGTTTATTTTTTCAAAAATGGCTAAAATATTATATTTTCCATGTTTCAGAAATCTATTTTGTAGCTGCATGGTCTGAGAAAAAGAAAAACACAAAACTCTTGGTTCAGAGGTGATATATTTTATTAGACGAACTAAAAAGTAGCAAAACGTTTTCCCTCTCTGCAAGCTTTGGGCACAAGCACCCTTCATCAGGCTGAGGAGAAATCAAAGCTTGTAAAAGTACTCTTTTGGAAAAATAAACTTCAACTTTATCTGCACATCACAGAGCAACTCTCTCATAAAAGGACTCTCACATCCCCAGGGAAATACATTTCCAGCCTCAACTTCCCTGCGCAAAACGGGGTTTATTTTCTAGCTAAGAGGACTTTTACAGTCTTTAATTTGATGACAGGTGCATGTGCCTGAACACTTCCAAAAACATTTTTTCTGCTACTTTTTAGTTGGTCTAATAAAAGGTATCACCTCTGAACCAACAGTTTTGTGTTTCTCATGGAGTACAAGGTATTCTGGGAATTGTAGTTTTCTTAGAGTGACAGTTTGCTGCTGCTGGGAAGAGGGGACTTTCATGCCATTTTTTGGCCACTGAAGCCCACGTCTAGAAGACATGGAAGAAAAAAGAAGAAGAAAAAAAAGCCGAATTCAGCACGAAAATAAGTTGTCAACCCAGCAACAGCAAATGTCACTGCTGCTCTACAAAACTACAATTTCCAGAACTCCTTGCACTCTATGACACCCATTAACTGTGCTGGTAGCTTCTTGGATCTGGAAAGCATCAGCAGGGTGAGACAAGGTAGCACTGAGGTAGGCTGCAGTGAAGCGTTCTTGGCAATCCTTTGATACAAGGATGACAGTTTTCCAGTAAATCAGGAAGTCATTGGTAAGTCTGTAGATGACTGAGGAGGTTGATCCAAGATCCCCATGATTGATCACAGACATGATATGTAGTTCCAGGAGGAAGAAGTAGATCCTGGTGGTGATGTCGTGTCATAGTACTTTCCATTCGTCTTTGGTCTATCCACCTCCACAGCGAGGCAGGTTTGTTCAAAATGTTCAATGTCTTATTGTACATCATGATGCTTTTGGGGACAATTCAGTGCTTTTAAGTAAGGCTATGCAAAACTTTGGCAGTTGTTTCATTTTGGAGGTGTTTCAGCCTGTTTCGGCGCCCAAAACACTGAATCCAAAACTAAACGGAAGGCTCCAAAACATCTCCGAAATGAAATGAAACCATCCAACACATTTCGGAAATGGTTTGGATGTTGCAGAGTCGGGCTTGTGGGGAAACAGAAACTCAGAAAAGGGTGGGGAAGGACTGCTCTGATGTTGACATCTGTAGCTGGCCAGTGTCTGCGATCTGTCCTGAGGTCCCTTCCAATCCCAGGACGCTGGGGGAGGGATGGCAGCCTGCTGTTAACCCACACGCAGATCTGGGGGCCCACGCTACCCGGGAGGAGTCTGGCACAGACCTGCAGCCCTCCCGGGGGGCAGGGTGCAGGCCCTCCATATCTGTGTGCAGGATGAAGGCATGCTGCCACTGTGGACTGGGGCCAGCACCCGAGCTGGCTTGGCGCAGCCCATGCCAAGTGCTGGTCTCAGGCAGCAGTGGCAGCCTGCTGTCATCCCGCGCACAGATCCAGGGGCCCATGCCCCCTGAGAAGAGTCCGGCAGAGCCCTGCAGCCCTCCTTTTACAGTGCCAGGAGGCTGGGGCCAGGCAGGGGTTGGGGCCAGGCAGGGGTTGGGGCCAGGCAGGGTAGTCATAGGGGCTTTTCCTGTGGCTCCCCCTGCCGGGGCAGAGGCAGGCACAGCCAGAGGAGCCACGGAAAAAGCCCCCACAGCTGCCCTGCCCGGCCCC